GTAGGCGTGGTTGAATCTTAACTTTTATAAAGAATATCTCTTTGGATTTGAGACTTTAGTCTTTGCAACTTTACAGATCTTCTTTATGCACCAAGAGCTTGTAACACTTCAAATAGAAAGGAAAAATTTAAATCACATCATATGTAAGCACAAAGCACACTGCACATATTTGTTTAAATAATACTGTACAGTTTTACAATTTTAAATTTAATTTTTGCACTTTGCACTTACTTAGCATAGTTGTATGACAATAGTAAACAGTCAATTTTCCAGTTTAAGTCAGTTCATTGTTGATTTAGCACATTACATTTCTAAGAGATGTAATGTTTTAAGAGTATTGTAATTAGATAATGCGCCCATCTGTTTGTCTGTGTCCCCTCACAGAACTTCAAATATACTGATCTGGTTCAATTATTAGGCAAGGAAGATGATCAGATCTTGGTCTTTCTGTGATCATCTGAAACCAGACCAAGATTTTTACTTTATTTGAACATCACAAGACTGGGGTGAAGGTCTGCAGTCACCTTGCTGCTCTTGTTCGTAATTGAATTTACATGGATGCATTATTGACAATGAGTTACGGGGGGAAAAGAGAGTTTTATTGAGACTGATCATCCTATCCTGGTCATTAACAACAACAGTAATAGTAACAATAACAATAACACTAACTAAAATGTAACTCATGCTCATATGCCACTGAATGATATAGGCATTAGCTCAAAATTACTCCCAGGGTGACCTTTAAACATGTTTGCATTTCACACAGACAATCGTTAAAAATAGGGTGACACCTAAATAATGTCATCCCTGTTACCCACATGTCAAAACCTGTTACCCTGAAAAGTAACAGGGTTGACCATTTCAAACTAATTTCCTAAGTTCTAGCTAATAGTTCACAAAATCACATGTTGTACACTTTGAAAGGATTTTACTTGTAGATATTGATTATATTAAATGTAATAAATAATTGTTTAAATTTACATTTTAAAAATGGTAACAGTATTGACACTGCATGATGCCCCCCACTGAGTCAAGCCTCCTAAATCATCAAAAATAGAACATTATAGAAGTGAGAGAGAAACATGCTTGTGTTTTAAGTGTAGGAATCCTGGTTGAGAGATGATGCAACCTCCTACATTATTTCACAAGGGTTTTTGATGAGGGTAACAGGGCTGACATGAAATCAGGGGACACCAATAAAAATATTTTAATTTTATAGAAATAAATGCATACTTGTGCCAAAAACATTGCTTAACAATGAGACTACAAACCAGTCATAAGGGTCAATTTTTTAAAATTGAGATTTATACATCATCTAAAAACTGAATAAATAAGCTTTCCATTGATGTATGGTTTGTTATATTATTGTTACAATATTTGGACAAGATACAACTATTTGAAAATCTGGAATCTGAGGTTGCAAACAAATCTAAATATTGAGAAAATCATCTTTAAAGTTGTCCAAATGAAGTTCTTAGCCATGCATATTACTAATCAAAAACTAAGTTTTGATATATTTACAGTAGGAAATTCACAAAATATCTTCATGGAACATGATCTTTACTTAATATCCTAATGATTTTTGGCATAAAAGAAAAATCTATCATTTTGACCCATAAAATGTTTATTTTTTTTGGCTATTTCTAAAAATATACCCAAGCAACTTAAGACTGGTTTTGTGGTCCAGGGTCACATATTTAAAACAATATGCAAATGTGATGTTTATATCATTTTGCCTTCATTTTGCAAATTAAAAGTCCTGCTGAAAAAGAAAAATCATAGTGAGGGATAGGCCAAAAACCTTACCCTTACCTGCATAAATGCTATTTAAATTATTTAAAATAATATTTAATTGACTTTTTTGATTAAATATTGATGAAAGAATACATAGTAATGTTATGTTTTTAAATTGCAAATTTATTCGTTGTTATATTAAATCTATGTCCGAGTATTTCTTAGGGACGCAAAAGGCACCGATTTTATGGAATGACCCAAAAACAAAAATAAAAGAACAAAAAAAACACAATAAAAACCTTGAATTCGGATATAAATTTGTGTCTGTTCCTCAGATTAAACTATCAGATGACTTCAGGACTTCCTGAATACTTTCATGGTGCCTTTATGTCCTTTCAGGACCTTGACACATACATCTTTTGTATTCCACAGAAGAAACTCGTGCAGCTTTGAAATGGCATAAGGGTGAGTAAATGATGATTGAACTTCAGTTTTCCTGTGAACTGGAAGTTAATTTCTCTGAGACTTACGGCAAAGACCTTGTCTGCAGTTAATCAGCTCCTGCTTTGTTATTCTAGCGTATCAAACATCTCGTCACGTCTGGAGTCTCTTAAGCGCACTGAGTCACCGCATGAAGGTGAACGGCTAATCAGCAGCATCTTTGGTGCGGTCGGTGTTTTATATCCCCCTCACCAGCTTCCAGGATATTCAGCTGTTTACTTTGCTTTCCCACATTTGACAAACAAAACCACAAACTAATCATTGCATTGTTTTGGTTCAAAGGTTTTAGCTTGAAGCAAGATACTTTTAGGAAAAAACAATGCTTTTGCATGCATGCACCGCTCACTTTTAAAGTGTATTTTGGCACTTTAATCTACTTGTGTCTGTAGATTTCAATCACAATACAGATCTTTAAAAGTTGTTTTCTCAAAAAATCAACAGCACTTACATACATCAACATTCACAGTTTTTATTGAGTTTTTTTTTTCATATATCATTTGCTTGATTTTATTATCGCACTTTATCTATTTGCAGCTGCAAATTTCAAATACAATACATATTTTTAAAGGCAATTGTCTCAAAATCAGTTTGTTTCTGCACTTTAGCAGCACTTGCAAATACCAAACTTAGTTTTATTCCTAGCTATATTCTGAAGGTTTTTATAGAGGGGTTTGTTCATATATTATTCTTATGTCTTTAAAATTGTATTACTAAAACATGGTGAAATTTTTTTTTTTTTTCTTGCTCATGACAGTATTTTCTGATTTACTGGGTGATAAAAATAGATATCCAAAATCCTCTCAGTAAAAACTTTTAACTCTTATATGTTTGATCAAGAATTTTAAACCTGGCTTCATACAGTGTTCAGATTCATATTCTGGAAATGTAAGCAAATGAGTGCATATTTAATTATGCATCACTTGCATATTTAAACTTAACATCTCTTTTTTATTACAAGTATTATAAGTTTGCTTAAATTTTTTTTTTTTACCCTACTCACCTGTGGTGTCTTGCCTTTATGCATGAAGTGTAATTAAGTGTATAGATTCAAAACTCCCCAAAATATGTGTTTTAAAGCTTGACGCCACAATAGAATAACCCTACAGCCACAATTTTGATTTCTTGGGGTTTTTAAAGAGTGCATGGAGTGGAAATCACCATGTTATTGAAGTCCGTTAAGCTCTGGCAGCAACGTGTGTACTGTGTTTTCCGACAGATGTGAAGTCCAGAGCGCTGCAGAACTTCATTTTCCACAGCTACACATCTGGAGAGAGAGATACAGCAGCTTTAAGAGCACTAAAGTATGTGGGAAACTACAAGAGAAGCCAGTCAGGTACCTGCTCCAAACTCTCTCTCTGTGTTTGAGGACGGTCGCCCCGTTTTCCTCCTCCTCGAGGCAGCTGTCAGCTCCTCCTTCTCAGATGTAGTTCTGCTGCGGTTCAGGACTCGATCAGACCCGACTGTCTGCTCGTGCTGTGAGGACCTGATACACACAAACACACTGACCGATTCATGTATGAACGTATGGAGTACACTTGCATCTTTCTGTTGTGCGTCGCCGCTCTGATGCCAGGTGAGTGTGTGTGAGTGTAAAGTGGGTGTGTGAGCTAACGCAAGCAAGTTTATCAGTGTGATAGACTTTGAGGACAAAACAGTCTCCACAAGTGAGATAAATCTGATTAAACCTTAATATACGTTTTTGATTCTAGGTTTTCTTTTAGGGTCCCTCTTGAGAAACAGCTCCAAATGAGTCACTAGTTGTCATCCAGTAAGAACAGAGAGCTGTAACATGAATGTGAACGTGCTCAGATTATTTCATGAGAAATATATGAGCTTATATTGACATTTTGGTGCAGTTTGAGATATTCTTGAGATCTGAAACTCTAGAGGAGACAGATGTGAGATCACCGGTATTTTTTCTCAGGAGAAACCTGTGGATATTTAGGCAAAAGTCTTGATTTGCTCTTTATTCTAATCTTACTGCTGTCTAGAATACTATTTTGAGATATTCAATGCAGTGGCGGTTCTAGACCACAGTAACTGGGGGGGCCAGGCAGGGGCCACTTGCGCTTTTAAAATTCATTTTAACCTACTTTCAGTATTATTCATTCAGTCATTTTTCACCATGTCATTTATCACTGCAATCTCTACAAGTAAGCTATAACAATTTAAACTCAAATGAATGTTTCATCATGTTTCATTTATCTGACAAATGATTTTGTATTGTAGTGTCAGTGCTTGTCATGTGACACACAGCAGCCACAATAGCACTGTATAACTGATATAGGCTTATGTTTTATTTTTTCTTTTATTCAAAATATTCCCAAACGTGTTAACTATATCATGAAATATCTCGATTCTCAAATATGTGTAAGTAAATGCATTTTGCACCTTTATAGATTGTTAGTTGATCTATAATGGGCAATGAGCAAAGTAGCCTAATAGTGTAATCTATTAACTATGCAAAAAACCCTCTTTTTACTTAAGTACCAGATATGGGTGTCATGCCATACAATATATATATATATCTTTTTATTACTTTATTTTTTTCCTCCTTTTTTTCAAACAAATACAGAACAAAAGGATACATTCTAAAGAACAACCTATACACATAACAGACATATACATACAGTGGTCACCAAATATAACTTATACTACATTCATGAGTATTCAGATTTTGATCAGATTCTGCCATACAAAGTTATGTTAAGGGTTACACATCTGACACAGTTTATGGATCAGGAGTCAAAATGATCTAAGGATCACTTATCTAAGGAGCTTCAAACTCATATAAATGGCAAAACAGAGAGAGAGAGGGAAGGAACAAAAAACACATAGGTCATCTACTAAATCTTTTCTTTTCTTCTCAACCACCTCCCCCAGTATGATGAGATTTTGGTAGATTGTTGTCTTAAGGAAAGGGTCAGCACTTCCATACTGTAGACATCATGTACAATTTCTTGCCATTCACATACAGATGGGGGATCTTCCTTAAAGGGTTAGTTCATCCAAAAATGAAAATTAGACTGTGTTTTACTCACCCCCGATGCATCCTAGGTGTATATGACTTTCTTCTTTCAGACGAATCCAGTCGGAGTTATATTAAAAATTGTCAATGGTAAAGTGTCTACTTTTATTTGTGTGCACTCACAAACAATATCAACAAAAACCTGTGCTTTTGTAAAATAATTCAGGAAAACAAACAGGATGTGCTTTCTGTTGTCTTGGTCTTGAGCAGGAGCGCTTCACCGACATGATACATATATCTATAGAATTACTATTTTAAAACGAAATAATTCAAATCGAAAACAAAAACTCTTTCATTATGTAATCCGTAAAGATGCATTTCTCTCTAAAAGCACGTCCAGTGAGGAGATGGCGGGTCAGGTTCGTCAAATTCATTTTTGCAACATTGACTCAGAAAACATTAGTTTATTAACAAATTCAAATATCCCCTCACTTTTTTTGTTTGTTTTTTATTTATTTTTTGTTTGTTTTTTTTTTGGGCCGCTGTGCCAAAATTGTGTTTGCATTCAGTAGCCTATATGGCAGCATTTTTGTTCCATGTTGAAAAATAACTAAATAAGATTAACGTCATAATATTTGAAGAATAAAGTCAAAATTACGATAATAAAATCATGTTATATTGCGTGAAGTTAATGTGAAAATTCCACCTATAGACCTACTCCTCTAAAAAAACAAAAAAGTTTGTGGCATCCGTCATTCTTTTGACTTATTTTAAAACTCTGATTGATCGATTCATGACATTCGTTTATATTCAATTGTTCTGATTTTTTTCAACATGCATTAAAATATTCATGTTTATTTCGTGCTGCAAATATTAAAGAGGAAAATATAATTTTTAAATATAATAAAGGCGAATTATCTCACTACAAATTAAAAAGCGTAAAAACACCTTTATTGTTTATATTTTATCATAGAATTGACAGAAGGCTGAGATTTTGTAGTAACAAAGCACAAAGCTGCAATTATTGAGTGGCTTGCGTGCTACAAATAATGAATGGACTTGAAAACTTTAAACAACATTTCCAAGCATTAGCCTATAGCTTACCATAAATAAAACAGCTTGTGAATAGTCACGATTCACGTAACTTTATTTACTTCCGAAAAATCAACAATAGGGACTAAGTTAAGTTAACCGAGTTGGAGCCCATAACATGGGGGGGGGCGTACACATTTTTTGCATATGGGCCTGGGGCTGACTTGCTACGCCACTGAATAAGACTGATGTACCCGCGTTGTAACACAAATACATGTAAGGTTTTTGGATTTTCCCCTTACTTTAAATGCATGCTTATGGCTCATTATTATTAATCGAAAAAAAAAAAAAACATTAAACTTTGAACATTTATTAACAAAATAAATAAGGATATGTTTTACTCGCGTTTAACACAAATAAATAGCCTATGGATTTCCCCTCAGGCTACCTTAAAACGTTCGTAGTTTGTGGTTTATCCCCCCCCCCCCCCCAGAACCGCCCCTGATTCAATGGGTTATTTTTATTTAACAAGCATGATGAATCTCAGAAATTCTATGTTTTATAAGTTCTGAAATATGCTGCGTTGTGTTAACATTTATACTTTAGGTATTTCTGCAAAAGTTGCTTGTGGTTTGGGGCTTATCATATGAGTTGATATCAAGTTCAATAAAGTGAATCCCAAATAACAGGGAACGTTCTGGCAAGGTTCTCCCAAAGTTATGAACAAACATTCTTCCATAAACAGAACGTTCGTTCAAAGTGAATTGGTCTTTAATAATGTTTTCAAAACTTTAGCACAGAAATATTATTTATACATTGTTCATTGAACGTTTTTTTTTTTTAGTAGGATGTTCGTCTAATCTTTTTTTAAATGCTACTTTTTGTTTCAGAACGTTCAAAGAACATTCAAAAGTAACACCAAATTGTTGTAACATGATAAAATGGAACGTTCCCTTAATGCTTGCATAATCAAGCAAAAACGTTCCAAAATAACGATAAAAACAATTAAATGGAACGTTAACAAAACGTTCTCAGAACACGTTTTTGTCAGCAGCTTTCTTACCGCTCTGGGAATGTCAGGCTGATAATGGAGGAACTCTAGAGGAACTGTGTGACCTTCATCCAGATGGACTTTTATGAGCAGGATCTAGTTCCTGGATCAAACACACAATCTGGATCCATTTACACACTTGCTCATCTAATGGACCTACACAGTAGGGCACATGTCATACATGGGTTCGATTACAATAAATGTATGCAGAGAAGATAAATTCTGTCGAACTGAATCCCCAAAGATATTTATATGCCGTAAGGGATTTTTAATGAGCTGAGAAGTGGTTACCTCAAGTCTTGGCTCATAAATACAGATCGATCCGATCTAGACCTGCCAGAACTTCAGCTAGATGGGTTTCCAAGAGCAGTGGCTCCCAAAAGGGTTCCAAGACAATATTCATAATCTTTAAAAATAAGTGTAACATATTAGATATTTGCAATTGGTAACAATAAAATCAACCCTTTTGTAGCTACATGCCTTAATTTGCTTAGAAAGAATAAAACGGTCATTGTGTCCTGAAAAAAGGAGCCATTGAGTAATGCATGATTTGGATTTGCAGTAACATTACAGCAACATGCATCTTTCTTTTAGCGATGTGTTTGCGTGTGGCGTCCAACAGAGGGTGCAGAGTTATTACATTGTTTACGTGCGTCTCTGAGTAGCATGAGCTCTTAAAATACTGTCATTTAAAAACAATAGACGACTCAATGTGGAAAAAGTACGTCTGAGGCTAGATATTTTTAAGGAATGCTTTGGAAAAAGGACCCGACTCCTGCTCTCCACCCATTAATGACAAGTGGCATAATCCTTAGTTCAAAACACATGTGAAAGAAGGAGCATATTTATTAATGTCACTGTGATGCATTAAATTTAAATACTTATAGAGATGGTTATCTTCGTTTTCGTCGCCACGGTGATCAGAGATCTGATTGGCTGATGACACCGGAAGTGTCTGGGCCTGTTTACATCATGATATCATGAGTAATGAGGAGAAGATAACATCCATATGAGAGATTTGATCCTACTTTCAGCTTAATCAAAACCACAGTTTGTCCCCCTTTTTCCAATATTTACTTTTGTCCTAATTATGCCCTCTCATGTGCTTGGATGTCACAGTCATGAGTTTTATTTTTGTGTGCTGTTACTTTATTAAGTGATTAGACTTGCGATTTTCACCTGCTGGATCATGAAACAGGTGAAAAAAAACACTAAAGAGGGACCTGGGCCATATCTAGAGACTCGGATGAGTCAGAAGAGCCACCTGTTCAATAAGTCAAATTTAAGAGCACTTTCCCAGAAACCTTCGGTGACGACTTTACCATGCTGGAATCTTACGCAGTCACTTGCCATGTGAGTGTAATGTCTGGTTCATTTCTGGCCCGAAGTGTTGGTCGTTGATTAACTTCTCATCCAAGCCAGATCCGGTCTGAAAGAGCCGAGATAAATCCAAAAAAAAACCCTCTAACTAAACTGGTTTTAGCAGGTCTGCCAGTCTAGTCATGCTGGTTTGCTAAAACTCTAAGTTGGTTCAAAATTAAGTTTGGTTTTCAGTAGCCCTTTTTTCCAAAGCTGCAGCATTTTAAAGCTTCATAAGTGCAGTCCTGATGCAAAGGAATCTCATTTTTGTCCATTTTTAAGGGAACTTTGCAAGTATCCTTCATGGAAAGACAATCCCACAATGCAGTGCAACAATCTGGTAGATGAAGCTGGAGAAAATAGGTTATACTTTCAGTATATTTTATTAACTAGTTAAACGTATTGAGAAAATTATTCAATGATTTTAAACTGGAATATTTTATTATTATTTTTTGTGACTTTTTTTTAACATAACAGAAAAAGTATTGATAAAAATGGTTCAATGCAATTAAAAAGCATGTATTTTACCCAATATACAGTATATGTGTATTTTAATACAGTAAGGTTGCTCAACCAACCAGCTTTATCCAGACAGAATAATGAATGATCTGAGAACTACTGGGGCTTCTGTTTGAATGAAAACACATGTGAATCGTTTATGTGAATCACACATGAAAAATGACTCTAATGTCACCAGATCTTCTCAAGAATCAAGAGCATCTGAGCACATAACATTCACTATAGTCATTACTATTGTAAACTGGCTGTAATTTAGCCGCAGGTCTTGGCTGACTTCACAACCGCTTCACCTCATATTCCCCAAGATAGGAGTCTGGTTTCAATTCAAGCAGTGTTGTTACTGTTTACTAAAACTAAAAATACTAAAAAAAAAATATATATATATATATATAGTTAACTGAAATAAAGCTGAAATAAAATAAAATATAAATATTAGATGAAAAACTTAAAAAAAAAAAAAAAAAGATAAAAATGAGAAATGTTGCCTTAACTAACTGAAAAAAATTGAAGGTGAAGTAGTAAAACTCAAATAAAAATAATTCTAAATATTAAAACAAATAATGTGCATTAAAAATTACTAAGACTTGAAAATTTTAAGGAAATTTGCATTTAAAAATAAAAGCTAATTCAAATTAGTAATAAACACTATTAATTATAGCATGTAAATACTACTGAAATAACCCTGAATACGATTTAAAGGGATAGGTCACACAAAAATCATTTACTCACCCTCACTGAATGATCTGCTGTCTTTGACGTCACAGAATAGTCGCTAGTTTGTGATTCGGGTTACGTGTGTTCACGTGGCGCCAATGTCATTTTCCTGTGGCTGTAGAATTATTAGGTCACATACATTTACGACTCAGGTGATTGGCTCAAAAACATCAGTCTAGAACTGAGTGCTCACCAACAAAAATGTTCAGCATGTTCTTGGCACTTCCATGCTGAAATGAGCGGAAATGTTAACGGATAGCCAATGGACCAACAAGAACCACAAATAGCAAAAATTTTATTGGCCTAGATCAGTTGTCTAAAATTATGCTTTAGAGTTCAAATACCATTTTTGTCTGGAGGAATTCATTCAAGCGTTAAAAAAAGAGCTTCACGTCAAAATCTTCAAAGTGCATGACCCCATAGTCGTGATTTTACTTTTTTTTTTTAAGCAAATCTGATGGATAAGCGAATATTATTTTCTGTGGTAACACATTACACCACAAAAACTACCGTTATATCTTGTATTGAGGCCAGAACATCCCTGTCTATAAGACAAAACGACACTCTCCAAAACGCATTCCACAATCAACGAGACTGTGAATGTGAGAAACATATTTTCATTTTTTGTTGGCTTCACAACAGGCCAATGCGTCTTTTTAAGTGTGATGACTTTTCATCCTGGGCTTCTTTCTTTTTTGGGACTTTTCATCCTGCTGAGAAAAAGAGAAGAATATGGAGGAAATATGACTGACCCTTTTTCCTTTTTTTTTTTTCCCTGTCAAGGGAAACGTTTCCCCAGGAAATTAAACTCGAAAGGCGATGTGACATCACTTCTATGATACCATATTCTTGCTTCCCATCCAAGTGACCTTTCCTAAAAAACATTTAAATGAAATCCAGAGGCTGGGGATGCTAGAAGCCGAGGGATGTGAATAGACCATCACAGGACGCAGAATTTCCTTTGATATGTGCTGCCGATGGCGTTTAGCTTCAATTTTTCCCTCCTGCTCGTTGTGGTCTCATGTGGTCTCATTGACGGTTTATCATCTTTGTGGACTATGTGAGATAAATTGTGCCTCCTTTAAAACAGCACAAGAATAGAATAAGCGTTCCTTAGACGTATTGTAACATTTAGACCTTTTATCAGTGGCTCTTAATGTGAGTGATGCAGTTTCACAGTATTTATGCCAAAAAGCATTTGCTAAGACAAGCATCACTATTCCTAGTGCTCACATTAGAAGGCAAGATCAATTTTCTTTCATTTTGTTGAACTTTAAGAGTTAAAGGTTTTTATGGGGATTTTGGTTCTCTTTTTTTTATCACTCCATATACCAGAAAATACTGTCGACAGACAGAAAACAAACATGTTTACCATGTTTATAGAAGTAAAATGTTAAATATATACCATAAGAATGATATATTTGAAAAAAAACTCAGTAAAAACCTACAGAATATGTTTCTAATAATTTTAGACTGAAACCACTGTAGATAGGGAAAAAAAACAGTTAAGTTTGGTGTATGTAAGTACTGCTGAAGCGAAAAGGTCTGATTTGTAATTGACACAAGTAAATAACATACATACACAAGTAAATAAAGTCCAATAAAATAAACACTTAAATGTGTATTTTGGATGTTTTCTTTCCACTAGCCTAAAAGAAGTCAATTTACGTGAATTTTTTTTTTTAAATAACCCAAAACTTTCAAACTGATGCATGAAAAAACAATGGGCCCTATCATACACCCGGCGCAATGCGGCGCAATGCGGCGCCAGGCGCGACGCAAGTGTTTTTTTGCTAGTTTTAGCCCGACACAGATATCATTTTCATGCATTTGCACTCATTTGTGTGCCCATGGACGTGCTGTCCTGAAAACGAGGTATGTTCAGGCGCATTGCTGGTGTGTTGCTATTTTGAGGCAAGTGAAATAGACTGTGCCATTGACCAACTAAAACCTGGCCTAAAGTTAATGGCACAGTATGTTTCTGTTATTTAAAGAGCGCGTTAGTAATATGCGCCTATAGGCGGGTTCACAACGTGCGTACACTCTGCTTATTACACACACAGGAACGCGCAGCAGCACGCAAACATGCCAAATATTACAAATTAAAGAATTACAATGTAAAAGATTATTATTGTGTAGGCTACATAAATATAAAAATGCCTACATGTCATAATGGATAGTCACTGCATGTATCAGAATTAGGCTACCTATTTGCTCGCGCACGAGCAGATCCGTTTCCTCTCTGGAGACGCGTTGTGTCTTTGCACTTGCAAATTCCGCCGTGTAAATAGCAAATCCGCCATGGCGGGAGCGCAACTGGCTCTTAAAGGGAATGGGAGATGAGACTCTGATTGGTTTATTGCACATTATGCCCAAAACACACCCATTACTCATTAAGAGAATAGGGACAGCCCTTTTAGACCATGCGCTTAGATCGTTAAAATAGGGCCCAATAGTTTTGCATATAAGCATGTAACAGTCTACAAATGGTAAAGTATTTACCATGACTTTAATCCATTTACTGCCAACTGAATTAAATTGAAAAGCTGTTTGGGTTTATTTCAGGGCGGTGGACCTGCTTTAATATTGACACCAGACATGCAAAAATCATCAAGGGTTCGAAGGAGGCTCAGTTTGGATATACAGTTCAACAACACGAGGCAGACGGGCAGAAATGGTAAGACTGCATCTTCAGAAACTGATCTGTAAAGATCATCAAAACCAGCTCTGTATGAAAACCTGATGGCAACCTTGATTTTATATTCCCAGTTTGAGTTTCATAGGCCTGAGAAAACATTCCCGAATTAACATTTTACAGCTCTGATGTTACTCTTTCATAACTCATGAGATGGAGTTCGCAGCCATGCTTCTCTGAAGAATCAACATCGTCACAGATGTTTCTTCTAAAATGTGTGAATAATTTAAAAAAAAAGACACAAATGAGTCATTCGTTGTCACACAGTATGAGTACAGAACTATAAAATGAATGTAGAGCAGCTCAGACCATTTGATGAGAAATGTTTGAGTTCATATTGAGATCTCTGACTTTCATATCTTGGCACATCTAAGCACAGTTTGACTTTTTCCTTAAGGAGAAACTTCTTGATTTGCTCTCTCTCATGGCTGCCTAGAAGAAACAATCGAGACATTATAGAGAAAGGCAGAAGTTCAGCAATAATTAATAACAGTTTCATCCATCATTTTTTTCCGATGAAATACTGTTGTGAAATGCGATCGTGCTCATGGTTCTGCTGTCTGCTGGCAAACACACAGTCTCAGAATCGACCTTGAAACTCTCCCAGCAGGAAGACGAATCGCTCTTACTGAAGTAAATCAAACTGCGGTTCTCCCGACGCAACGTACTTCAGTTGCATCTGCGCAAATTCATGGGAAATTAAATAAGCAATAAGCAAAACCATTCACAACCAATAACATATGTTCATAGTAGCAAGTGAGTCATAACTGTGGACATTTAGTCTTTTCAATTTCAGGGTTATGGATTATAATTCATAGAAATTCAAGAATGTTTATATATGCGTTAGTGGTGGTGCTGCTCATCCTATAGCGCTATTTTTGCAAACAAAGTGAGGTTAGTCAATAACAAACCATATTTTCCAACATTAAAAATATGATCCGCTGCAAAAAAAGGAAACCAGTAGGAAACACTATGTTAATATTGACTTTTTTTCAGTCTATATGTCAATACAATTTCTTAATAATTTTTCATTTACAATGTTTATTCTACACCACAAAAGTGTGTAATTTAAAATTGTATTGCATTAATTCTCCAGTATTTCCAACCCTTTTATTATTGGTCAGGCAAACAGACAAGTCCCGCCCCAAAATCACGATTGGTTGACTACGAAGTTGACGGATCAATGTTTTGAAAGAAACGCAATGTTTCAGTTTTTCACACTTTATGAAGCCTGACTGAGTATGTGGCTATGAAAAATTGCATATACTAATATGCATAAAATTAAATCAGATTTAGACCACGATGTTAAACATACATTTTAGGACCAGGTGCATGTATAATTGCTGCTATGCAGAATGTGACGTCATAAGCAAGTAATGGCATTACTGTAACCCAGCCAGTCTTTACCGGAACGTATGTTAAAGCTAATCAATTAGTCCTAAATATTACATGCTCACAGTTTACAACCTTTAAAACACAGGGTATTGTTTTTGACTCATAAAAGCCCAGGTACACAAAAGAATACACATCGTTAACCAAACTCCCACGGCACCAAAACCACCGAATCCGGACGTCAGCTTCCTGTTATTTAATCCTGAGGTTTGTCATCACTGATGGAGAACTCGTGGTCCCCCAGCATTGAGAAACCTGGGGGCCTTTGATGTGCACAGGTAAATAAGTGGAAAGTATTTGCACTTGTCTCGACCCGTCTGCGAGCGCGAGCTCTGGAAAGTATGTGTTTTGTGGCTTGTAATTCCCAAACCCCCTCCTGTGCATCCCATCGCAAGACAAACCATGTGGCGCGCGCTTCCCTCTGGAATGCGATTTACTGCGCAGAGCCGAGAGGAATGCTGTTTTTCCATTTCTGTAGAATGTCACAAAAAATTAAAGGACACTTTTGCTTCATGCACTAATGCATAAAATATTTTAGCTCTTAAAAACACATGCATCTAAAATGATTATGTTAAGTTTTGCACACTATTCAAAAAATGACCCCCTGTTGTTTTAGTCAAGCCCTAGTTTACATGCAAGAGTGACTGGATGTTTTGTTAAATTCTACCGAATAAAAAGCACCTCTTTTACATATATAGTATCACCCAAAAATGAACATTTGCTGAAAATGTACTCACCCTCAGTTCAGCCAAGATGTAGATGAGTTTGTTTCTTCATCAGATTTGGAGAAATGTAGCATTTCATCACTTGCTCACCAATGGAAGTGAATGGGTGCCGTCAGAATGAGAGTCCAAACAGCTGATAAATACATCACAATAATCCATAAGTAATCCACACCACTCCAGTCCATCAGTTAACATCTGGAGAAGACAAAAGCTGTGTGTTTGTAACAAACAAAAAAATGGCAGTCTCCTGTTTCATATAAAAATACATCACATTACGGTCATAAAATTGGTTGACATTAATGGTAAACACTAAAAAGTACTAGTTGCTGATTCTGTTTCAGTGATACATTTCCTCAGCATAACTCATGAGCTTAAATGAAGAATTTATAGTATACTTTAGGGATATTGGTATCCACATGTCAACATTTTCCGATATGCACGATTAAGAACAACATCAGTCTATATTTCAGCTGGGTTTCTAGCTAATGTCATCAGCAGATGCTTTTATCAGAAGTGACACACAGAAGTACATTATTTCAGCTCCTGAAAGAACGTGAAGTGGCTTTGCACCCAATTCCGATTAGTTTTTCAAATCCAATATTTAGGGCTGACCGTCTGCACCGTCACTGTGCAAGTGCTGAAATCAGATCCGTTTGTTCAGACAGCGAAGGCAATATCCAGGATATTACAACTAATACTAATCTGATTGTACTGTTTAGACTGAAATGCATTTCTAAAATTCCAATTTTAATCAGATTTCAGACCACATACAAATATGGTTTGGATTGGGTTTGTAGGAACTATGGATTTCGCACAGTTTTTGCGGTTCAGACAACAAAGAACTAAACGGATTAGAGTCGGACACGGGAAAATTATCTTAAAATGAATTGAACGTGCTGTTAGCCTTCATTTGCATATGCTGTCTGCATTGTTTTAGCACACAAAATTACGCAGATCAGGCAGTGTTGCAAAACACAGCCAAATGCAACTGGCTGTTTTAACAGAAATATATATATAAACAACTCATTTAAACAAAACAACTGTCTGATTCCCAGTAAATGCAATACAGCGAAGGCAATATCCAGGATATTACAACTAATACTAATCTGATTGTACTGTTTAGACTGAAATGCATTTCTAAAATTCCAATTTTAATCAGATTTCAGACCACATACAAATATGGTTTGGATTGGGTTTGTAGGAACTATGGATTTCGCACAGTTTTTGCGGTTCAGACAACAAAGAACTAAACGGATTAGAGTCGGACACGGGAAAATTATCTTAAAATGAATTGAACGTGCTGTTAGCCTTCATTTGCATATGCTGTCTGCATTGTTTTAGCACACAAAATTACGCAGATCAGGCAGTGTTGCAAAACACAGCCAAATGCAACTGGCTGTTTTAACAGAAATATATATATATAAACAATTCATTTAAACAAAACAACTGTCTGATTCCCAGTAAATGCAATGTAATTTGCTTTGGATAAAATGCATACATCTAAATGCAAACAGTGCAAACTTTTGTGAACAAGGTGCATACTATAATGAGCCTCATTTGCATTGCAAGTTCATTTGTTTGTGCTAGAAAAAAGAGAATGATAATAAAAAGAGAATGTTTAAGTGCATTATGCTTTAAGTGCATATGCCGCAATGTACAGTAGATACCAGTGTAGCATACCTGGAAAAGTTGAACTAGAAGTGATTACTGAAATACTGTCCTCAAATCTGGTGCAACTGTTTAGTGAGTTTATCAGTCAACTCTTGATTGTGTTTGAACCTATGGCTTTCAGTAATCAGTCCTAATGTTTACTCATACCATTGAAGTGAATGTTCAGTTTATCAGTATATATTGTAAAAAAATATTTGAAAAATGACTGTTGTATCTGATTGTATTAGTCTATATAGAGTGATAGTCAATGTAAAAAGGAGCAAATGGGAGAAGCAGATGAACACAAAATGCAGTGCTTTGAAAGTGAATCTGTCAGAGTGATCACAAGCCTTTGCACTGTTTCTCCACCATTTTGCAACCATATAGTTTGCTGCTAACCCAAAATATCATTATACACTCTAAAAAGTGCTGGGTTGTTTCAACGCAACTTTGGGTCAAATATGGACTAACCCAACTTTTGGGTTAAAAATGTCATTGAAAAATTTTACCCAACAGCTGGGTTAGTCCATATTTGACCCAAAGTTGGGTTGAAACAACCCAGCATTTTTTAGAGTGTAGGATAAAATGTACTCTTTCATTGCAGTGTGGAAACCCCAACTGAATAAAATACATATGACTGGATGGATTCACAGAGCAATTAGTGTGCTAGCTTCTATTACAATGTAAATGGAAGGCAGCATACAGGTTTGGATCGACATGAAAATTAGTAAACAAATTCTAAATTATTCATTTAGGAGTATGCTGGGATACTTCAGGTTGTTTAGGACTGTTCAAATGGTCTGTCATCCTTTAAGATGTTGAGCTCCAATTTATTCTGAAAGCCCTGGCATGTTGTATTAGCATCGGGTGGCTTGGAAAAACGACTGGGTTTAACTTGACGTTCCTCAAATAACTTTGCCTCAGGATAGACTAAACCTTCACTACAGGTGCCAAAGTGTAACGGTACATTCCAATAATGACTGACGTTCAGAAAGTGGTGCATTGTGGGAACTAAGAGTGCTGAACATCCCGAAATCAAATGCAATCCGTCATGTGACTTAAAGCAAAAACAAATCCTACTATGGTATGCTAAAAAAAAAAAAAAACGGGTAATTTTCACTCAGAATTTGCTAGTAACTTTCACAAACAATTACAAAGAAACGGCAAGAAACACACTAAATACATTTTTAACGGTGAAATTTTAAAGTAGAAAAACTGAAATAGTATTTTCTTGTAAAACGTACTCCAATAATCTGTTTTATTTTGAAAACTCATCTTTACAGTGTACTTTACATTGTACTGAAAAATTGCCATATTAATTCATTTACCAATGGATACAGCAAATTAATTAGCCTGCTTAAATGACTAGTTTTAACCAATGGTTAATGGTTTGCTGGACTTAGTAGAGTTAGTTGGTTTCTCAGCCTGCTGGTTTTCAGCTGGTTTAGTGTCCAAAACTTATCTAAAATGTGACCCTGGACTACAAAACCAGTCTTAAGTGTCAATTTTGAAAAAAAATATATATTCTGAAAGCGGAATAAATAATCTTTCCATTGATGTATGGTTTGTTAGGATAGGACAATATTTGGCTGAGATACAAATATTTGAAAATCTGGAATCTAAAGGGGGGCAAAAAAAAACAAAATATTGAGAAAATCATCTTTAAAGTTGTCCAAATGAAGTCCTTAGCAATGCATATTTGACCCATACAATGTATTTTTGGCTATTGCTACAAATATACCCCAGCGACTTAATACTGGTTTTGTGCTCCAGGGTCCCAAATCATCAAACTAGAGCATATTGACTAGCTGAAACCACTCTGGTGGTGAATTAAAACCAGCAAACCACCTTAGACTGATTTATGCTGTTTTATGAACAATATGACAAGTTTGCAAATTGACTGACAGTAACGTTTCTGTCATACAAAACACATGGTTGTAAATAAAACCATCAATCTAGACCTACTGACTAATGAAAAACACACTGCTGGCCAGATAAAACCAACAAACCACCTTTACACCATAATAAGGTAGTTTGCTGGTTTTTTGCTGGTAGGTTTAGTTGTTTTTAAGCTCGCTTAGCTGGTTTAAGTGCCCAAAACCTCTATAAAACCATCAAACTAGACCATCCTGACTAGTGAAAACCACCCTGGTGTCCAGTTAAAACCACCAACCCACTTTAGACTGGTTTATGCTGGGGGGGTTTTCGCACTGACAATATGACAAGAGCACAAATTGACTGAAAGCAATGTTTCTGATTCAAGATTGTAGGTAAAACTATCAAACTACACCATCCTGACTACTGAAAACCACTTTGTTGAACAGTTAAGACCAACAAACCACCTCAGACTAGTTTATGCTGTTTTTTTCCCATATTGACTATATGACAGGAGCACAAATTGACATTTCTGTGATTCAAAACACACGGCTGTAGGTCGCAGTGGCAGTGGAGGAATGTAAACATTGCCATGGATGGATTTCACAGGCCAAACTCTGGGATGTGGTTTGTTGTCGCAGTTCTAAACGTCTTGATCTCAACACGAACAGCATTACTGAGTTTGCTGTTGGTTTCTGGTATTGGCTCCGTCTCAGAGGTACCTCAGAAGCTGGAAAAATCTGCTTAGCAGTTCCCTGCTGCTGGGCTCATGTGGCGTTTTCCTCCTATCAGGGAGTGAATGACTTCGACTGGAGCGCAGCTGGAATGTTGAACTTGTGATACTGTTTGTGTTTCTCATAAAATGGCTGTTTGGAGTCAGCTGCTACTGTTCACCAATTTATTCCCAATGTTTTTCTTAAATAAAAAACAACAATTAAAGCTGTAATAGTGCATTAGAAAAACCAAATACGCCAAATTAGATTTTAATAAAGCATGATGCATAATTGAAGATTACATCAAACGATTAACCCTGATCAAATAATGCATGTTGTATAAGTATTTGAGGATGAATATTCTTGTATTTCAGGCTCCTGGTTGGAGCTCCCTTTGAGAGCAGCGGTGAACACCAGACAGGTGACGTCTACAGATGTCCACTAGACGGCAAACCCGCCACAAACTGCACGCGACTGCATTTAGGTATCATATCACCCGTCTGACGCCTCAATATTAACTCTTTCCTTGCCAGCATTAAAAATAAAATGTTGGCAGCCACTGCCAGCATTTTTAATCATCTTCACAAAAATTGCATGGCCCCCAAAATATTTTTTATGCAACATGCAATACTATATGTCAAAAGAAAGAACAGAGCCTCTGCTTTCAAACAATTTTATTCTAGCTTCATGCGTTCTTTTTTTATAAATACCCTAATCCTAAATTTCATTAAAAAAGCAAACATTTCGAACAAAAAGCTACGAAAATCACATTTCGTCAAAGAGTACATCTGGATCTGATTCAGAACGATGATCAAAAAACAGATGGAGTAGATCATTTCCATCAAGACCCCCAAATCTTCACAGTCCTGAAACACTTCCTGGATCGACATTTCATTCGGTAACTTTAGTCAGTTTTAATTTATATGCTATTTAAAGGGCACCTATTATGCTCCTTTTTACAAGATGTAATATTGGTCTTGAGTGTCCCCAGAATGTGTCTGTGAAGTTTCAGCTCAAAATACCCCACAGATCATTTATTATAACATCTGGAAAATGTCATTTTTGAGGCATGACTAAAAATAGCTGTTTTTGTGTGTATCATTTTAAATGCAAATGAGCTGCATATTCCCGCCCCGTCTCCAGAAGAGGGCATCGTGTATACGTCTCTCTGCTTTGCATACCTACTGCAATAAGCAGCAGGTAGAAGCAACATAATAGAGCGAGAGAACCGGTGTTCAGCCGTACATATGGGAAGCCAAATGCACTGAAAGTGAGACGAAACAGTGCGATGTTACAGAGCTTGCGCCGCGCTGACCTGTCAATTTCAACTGACCGAGCCACACGACCACGAACTAATCTCACAAGCGCGCCACTGATCAATTAAAATGCTTTGCTAATGTATGCACACAAAAACGCCAAGTAGTTAAAACGCTAAGCACTATAACGACATGACATTCACAAAAGAGTCTGGAGTAAAATGATCTGCGCAGACATAAACGTATTTAGGTAGATTTTGAGGCGTATTACCTTGAAAAATAGAAGTAATCCACTGTGTCCTCAGTGGCGCATGTTCAGCCATGTTATGTTCAGTCTTACATCCAAACACAGAGCATCGGGATTGCTTACGAGACATTGTTGACATTATAGCTGCTCAAGAGCGGAGAAAATGGAGAACAGCATACAACCTCTGAGGGCGGAAACTATAGCAATGCAGGGCTGTCAATCAGCCGCCGTGGCCCGGCCCTATGCAATGTGATGTCATATTGCTTAGAGCACCAAAAGAGTAGGCCTAGTGAGATGGATTTGGTTTAATGGGGATTAAAAAATAAAGAATGGGTGGATTTTTATCATTGTTGGGTGGTTGTGTACACACATTGCCAACACACATTTATGTCCAAACACCATGTAAAAGTGGATTTTGTATAATAGGTGCCCTTTAATGTTTGATGATCACATTATTTTACATATGCATCTACATACGCATTTACTTGTTTCTGCTTCTTCTTCCCTGTGTTTTGATCCAGAGATTCAGTACTCTTTCAGAAGATGTGTAATAGCGCCTCCTATCAGTGAAAATACGGAAAGCTGAAAAATTCTGTCAATGGCAGGGAAAGACTTAACGGGGTCATCGGATGCCCATTTTCCACAAGTTAATATGATGCTTTAGGGTCTTAATGAAAAGTCTTTAACATACTTTGATTAAAATTTCTCAATGGTAGTGTAAAACAACACCCTTTTCACCCTGTCAAAAACAGCTCTGCACAGCAACCCGTTTTAGTGCATGTTCCTTTAAATGCTAATGAGCTCTGCTGGCCCCGCCCCTCTCTTCCATTGGGTGACGAGCCGTTCTCATGAGACTGTAAACTTTTAGCTGCATTTAGCAGCGGAACTTGCTAACTAGCACGTTATTAGGAAAGGCGATTTGCAAAGATTCATAAAAGCTGAAGGTGAAGCTGAATCACGAATGATTCGCGCAAACATAAACGCATTTAGGTAGATCGGGGGCGCATTCTCTTCAAAAACAAAAGTAATCCTCTGCATCTTCAGTGGCTCAGATATTGGGAGTAAATGATGACTGCTATGTTCATTATTACATCCAACAACAAAACACCTCAATCGCTTAGGAGCCATTCTTGTCTACATCTGCTCCGGCGGTGAAACAATGGTGGACTGATGACAGCTCACTCAGGTCTAAGGTAAAACACTAGTGTCAATCAACGATTATGGGAGGGGCCAGGATTTGTGTGACATCACACAGCCAAGAACCTGAGAACGGCTTGATTTGAGAAAGGGGATATTATTTATAGGGATTAAATAAAAACCACTGAGTGGATTTTTATCATTATAGGGTGGTTGTTTACACACACTGCCAACACATTTCAGTTCAAACAACTTGTAAAAGTGAATTTAGCATCCAATGACCCCATTTAAGCTTAAAAAAGGTGTAATGTAACAAAACATTTTGTAATTTCTCTCTCAATTTTCTCTTGCCGTTCGGCTGTTTATCATATAATTTATATTATAAATAAATATATTTAATATATAAACATATATTGAAAAGAAATGGTACTTGTGACTTTTAATCTCATTTTTTTTAGAATTCTGACTTTACAGCACGCAATTCTGTTTTCCCCCAAAAAATGTTTAGACACCTGACCTGAGCACATTCTGATAACTACTTTCTGAGAAAAAAAAGTCCAAATTGCGAGATGTAAACTCTTAATTCTGAGAATTGTGAGATAAACTCACAATTGTAAGAAGAAAGTAATAATTGTGAGATTAGACGTCACAATTGCCTTTTTTAGATGTTTGTATTCTGGCGGAAATAAGCTTTCATTCAACTCAAATTGGAATTGGAGTCGAGATGTTTTGCAATTGCATAAATCACACTAAAATGGAGAGTAATTTTGGATAAACTCATAAGACTTTAAACACTCATAACACAAATCATGTTAAACAGACAAATTCATTAAAAAATTTAATCTCTTTGTATGCATGAATTTAATTATCAAAACTCAACTGGAGTTAAAACAGAGCTGAAACAATGTGTGATTCACGCGTTTTCACTTTTTCACTTTCAACAAAATGTACATGTGCACAGTGCTGGGTAGGAACTGATTACATGTAATCTGGATTACGTAATCAGATTCCAAAAATTAAGTACTTGTAATTAAATTATATTACATTTTAAAACACTCTTTGAAAGGCTTCTCTTTCATACACATTGCACATTCATGTTATTTCTTATTGCCAACCTTTTTTTTTTTTGTCAGCCGAACGTCTTTCACCTAATATATTTACTTGATGTCCCCCTGAGATTTTAAATAATAAGTTCATAATTAAGTAAAACATTTGCATGTTCAAGGTTCTCTGATGTTGGTTAATCATCACATGACATTCAGGTTAACAAATAAAATATTTTATCTTTTTTTAGTAAGAGTTTTATTCTAACTGTTGTCATTTTACAATTATTTATTTTAATTTTACATTAATTATGATTTAATTATTTATTAGCTTTTCGTGAAACTCACAAACCCCAGTTTTGGAAATCAATGTGAAAAATGAGATAGGTCAAAAGTAATCTAAAAGTAGTTTGATTATATTACCTAAAATACGTAATGTAATGGGTTATGTTACTAACTTCAATTTTTGTCATGTGATTTGGAATCAGTAATGGATTACAATTTGTAAGTAATCTACCCAGCACTGTGTGTACATGTCGTTGTCTATGTATTTATAACAGAACACAAGCATTCAAACACGGAGGTCGCCCAGACGCCAAGAAAGTCATGATTGTCATCACTGATGGAGAATCGCACGACAGCCCAAACCTACGGAAAGTCGTGGAGGAAAGTGAGAAGGATAATATCACCTTGTATGGTATTGCGGTGAGTTAATGCCTCTTTCCAGTAGAATCCTCCAGATGTGTTCTTCAGGTTTACTCTTCTCCGTCGGTCATGTGACTCAGATACTTGAGTTGTGTTCAAACAGGTGCACAGGTTGAACAGGTGAGCATAGTTCAGATAGTCCAATTCCGTTCCAGGTTCTTGGCTACTATAATCGGCGAGGGATCAATCCTGAAGCTTTTCTGAGGGAAATCAAGTTCATCGCCACCGATCCTGAGGAGCACTTCTTCAGCGTCACTGATGAGTCTGCACTCAAGGATATCGTCGATGCTCTGGGAGAGAAGATCTTCAGCTTGGAGGGTAGAACTCAATGAATACATCTTAAACATAGTCATAATCTCATATTTAACCCATATCCCACACTGCAACATTCTAAAAAACATTCAGAACACCCTAGCAACCACATAGCAACATAAGAACCACTCAGAACACCTTAGCACCCACATAGCAACATAAAAATACTCAGAACACCCTAGCAACTACATAGCAACATAAGAACCACTCAAAACACCCTAGCAACCACATAGCAACATAAGAACTACTCAGAACACCCTAGCAACTACATAGCAACATAAGAACCACTCAGAACACGCTAGCAACCACATATCAACATAAGAACCACTCAGAACAAAAATACTCAGAACATGCTAGCAACTACATAGCAACATAAGAATCACTCAGAACACCGTAGCAACTGCATAGCAACATAAAAACAACTCAGAACACCCTAGCAACCACATAGCAACATAAGAACCACTCACAACACCCTAGCAACCACATAGCAACATAAAAATACTCAGAACACGCTAGCAACTACATAGCAACATAAGAATCACTCAGAACACCGTAGCAACTGGAGGATTTGGGATTTGGACAGCAGAGATGGAGGACCAGCTTGTCGATTTGCGGCAACAGCACGAGTGTTTATACAACGTGTCCTGTAAAACATATTTATTCTCAAGTCTCAAGAGATTTTTCGAGATTTCCCGTGTCACAGTCGGGACCAAATCTGTTGGTGTGTGGTGTGCTGTCTGTCACACTAATGTTAAATCTGGGATTTGTTTTTTGTCCTCATGTTTGTGGTCTCTCACATTTTGAAGATCTTATAAGATTTTAAAAGTATTTTAGTGTGTACCCAGCATTAGCAACTGCATAGCAACATAAGAACCCATCAGAACCCCTTAGCGACTGCATAGCAACATAAGAACCACTCAGAACACCGTGGTAACTACATAGCAACATAAAAACAACTAAGAACACATTAGCAACTGCAACTAAAGAACCACTCAGAACACCCCAGCAACCACATAGCAACATAAAAACAACTCAGAACACCTTAGCAACCACATAGCAACATAAGAACCCCTTAGAAACCACATAGCAACATAAAAACAACTCAGAACACCTTAGCAACCACATAGCAACATAAGAACCCCTTAGAAACCACATAGCAACATAAAAACAACTCAGAACACCTTAGCAACCACATAGCAACATAAGAACCCCTTAGAAACCACATAGCAACATAAAAACAACTCAGAACATCTTAGCAACTGAATAGCAACATAAGAACCACTCAGAACCCCTTAGCGGCCGCATAGCAACATAAGAACCACTCACAACACTGTAGTAACCACATAGCAACATAAAAACAACTCAGAACACATTAGCAACTGCATAGCAACTTAAGAACCACTCAGAACACCCCAGCAACCACATAGCACCATAAAAACAACTCAGAAAACCTTAGCAACCACATATCAAAATAAGAACCCCTTAGCAACCGCATAGCAACATAAAAACAACTCAGAACATCTTAGCAACTGCATAGCAACATAAAAACCTCTCAGAACACCTTAGCAACTGCATAGCAACTTAAGAACCTCTCAGAACACCGTAGCAACTGCATAGCAACATAAGACACTTGGAACACCCTAGAAACTGTATAGCAACATAAAAACCACTCAGAACTCCACAGCAACCACATAGGAACATAAAAACAACTTGGAACATCTTAGCAACCGCATAGAAACATAAAAACAACTCAGAACACCCTAGAAACCACATATCAACAAAAACCACGCAGAACACCCTAGCAACCACATAGCAACATAAGAACCACTCAGAGCACCCTAGCAACCGCATAGCAACATAAAAACAACTCAGAAGACCTTAGAAACTACATATCAAAATCTAAAATGAGAAAGAACACCCTAGCAACCGCATAGCAATATAAAAAATACTCAACACTCTAGCAACCAAATAGGAATTTGCTAAAAACCCCTCAGAACCACATAGCAACATCTAACACTACTCAGAATACCCTAGCAACCACATAGCAACATAAAAACCATTCAGAACACCCTAGCAACTGCATAGCATTAGCAGCACATTAGCATCGCTGCAGTGATGTTTGCATTGTTACTACCACAGTCTAGTTTTCTTAATAGTTTTTTACTTTTCTGCAGGCACCAACCAGAACGGTACGGCCTTTGGTCTGCAGATGTCTCAAGCTGGATTTTCCTCACATATCGTAGAGGTGAGTACGCGCGTCTTCATCCGTTCCAAACAGAAGAAATATAAATATTGACAACAGCGCTAATGTGCGGAGAATTATATTACGTACTCAGCGAGGTGCATGAAATGCTGTTATTTTGCTCTTTGCACTCTGTGATTGAGTTTAACGCTCTTCCATTAGCCTGGAGCAGAAACTACGGAATCAGTCAGACTAAAGAGTCACTGATAGATTGATTCGTTTACCGCTCAGTGCCCATGGGGAAACAAACCTGAGGCACGTCCTTTTAGGCCCCGACAGAAGCATGGAACGCCACTCTTTCAATTAAAATAAGGCTTGTTTATGTTTGAAGCCGCTCCACATGCTGTGAGCGGCATGAAAACAGCTTAGACCGGCTTCTGAGGGAAGACTATTTTTCACACCTTCCCTCTCGGTTTGAGTAATCTCATGCAGGAGAGGGGTTTGAAGGCTACTTTTGTGTTAGATGAAGGACAACTTACCCAAAGAAAAATAACATTTTTTTTCACTGTTG